CTCACCCAAAGCCACAGCTAGTCAGATTGACTCACAGAATCAAAAATTCAGTTAAAATATTGGGAGGCAAACAGAGAGACAGCATCTTGGGGTCCCTTCGAGTGTGGCACAGTGAATAGAGTCCTCCAGCTGCAGGCTTCAACCTGCACTCACTGCACTACTTTTTTCTCTAAAGGCGACAAAATGGACCAGTTCATGACTCTAGGGTTTAACTCTTTTAGAGAAAGCTTTTGCATTCTAGCCCTAACTCTTGCAGCTTTAACATTCCGTAAGCCTGGTAGGGGAATGTCCTCTCCTCTACCTTTTGCGTGAGAGTGGTCAGACAGTGCTCGGGTTATCTGCATGTGCACCGTTCTTAGAATCAAAAGAAACTGGAATGACTATCAACATTTGGAGGCAATCAGTTCATGCACTGTTTTAGTCATGCCTCATGTAAAGCTGAGTTTTAAAAAATACAGGCTGGCTACAATATAATAAAATTAATGTGATGGGTGGTAACTGACATTAAAAAATTAAATAATAGAACAGAAAATATCAGGATGCAATCCAAGAGCTTTGGAAAAGTTTTCTTTCCGGTGTGTGTGTATATTGGGTCCTGTATGTACTGTAATGGTTCTCAGTAAGATTTAAAATTCCAAGGGATGCATTATTTTAACTATATTTTAATGAATCATATTTAACATTCATTATTTTAACTTCATGGAAAATCCATAAAATGGTTCAGTGGAGTTTTTTTTTTTAAGGCTGGGAAAATTTATTTAAATAGGCAAATATGCCTCATCCCTACCATATCCTGGAATTACTTTTAATTAAGTTCACTCTTCAAAACAATGAGTATCAAAATCAAAGATTTTCATGAGAACAAGTTTAATCTTGGTAAGCAATCGTGAAATGTGCAATAAATGACTAAGACTCAGTTATCTCAGTTTTCTCAGAGACTGTAATTATCTACTTCAAGATTTTGGATAAGCAAACTATAATTTTTATCCTCAAATCTTTCTTTCATCCAGTCATTCATCATTAACTAGATTTCTCTACTTAGCAAGGCACATACAGTTGGCTCTCTGTATCTGTGGGTTCTGCAACTGTGGATTCAACCAACAGCTGACAAAAAATATTTTTCAAAAGTGGATGGTTTCATTTGTACTGAACAGGTACAGACTATTTGTCTTGTCATTATCCCCTAGACAAGATAGTATAGGAACTATTTACATGGTATTTACATTGTATGAGGTATTATAAGTAATGTACAGATGATGTAAAGTATCTGGGGGGATGTGCATAAGTTATATGCAAATACTATGCCACTTCATATAAGGACTGGAGCATCCGTGGATCTGGGTATCCACAGGGATTCCCAGAACCAGTCCCTTAAGGGTACTAAGGGGTAACTATAGGGTTACAGGAACAAAGGGACCAGCTGCAGAATTAACGGGAAGCTGGGTATAGTCATCCAACCTCTTCAGGCCTCTTAGGGCACAGTAACTGATGGGCACACAGCATAGGTTGGGGATGACCAACTGTTGCTGCAAGACGTTGTCCAGTGAGATGGTGTGCAGAGAAGTCAAGGGGCACAGGAATGACTTCAGCATCTGAGTGGAGGAGTGGGACTCCTTTGATTGTTCATTAACTGTTTTGGTCATGCCTCATGTAAAGCTGAGTTTTTAAAAATGTGGGTTAGCTACAATACAAGAAAATTAATTTAATAAGTAAAAACTGGCATTAAAAAACATGAAACAGTAGAACAGAAAATGTCAGGGTGCAATCCAGATGTTTCACATAAGTTTTCTTTCACTTATATGTGTATGTGTATGTGTGTTTGCATGTGTATGTCCTGTGTGTGTTTGTATGTGACTGCATGTGACTGCACACACATGTATGTGTGTGTGTGTTGGATCTTCATGTAAAATGCTGCTCTTACTATGGATCATAGTTGAAAAGGTTTGAAGCCACTACTCTAAAGGATGAGGGGGCAGGAGACATATCGAGCTCACACTGTGTGTCCCAGGGTTCTGACACAGCCTCAGAGAAAAGGTAAGAAAAGCCTTGGGAAGGATTTCACACAGGTCTTATCCACAGAGCTGACACACAGCTGAAATGAGAACGGCTAGTGTTTCGAGGCCTTTTACCTACATCATCCATTACGCATACTGAGTCACAATGACCCTTTACAGTGGGAACACTTGTTCCTGCCCTCATTCCACCAGAGGGAAATCAGGCACAGACAGGATCTCACCGCTGGTTAGAGGCGGAGTCGGTGGGATGACTTCGGCATCTTCACTGCCGCCCAGTGGCCTGCGCCAGTGAGAATCTCCTGGCCTTGGCTCTGCCATCCATTTAACCCTCCTGGAGCTGTTTGAGGGGCTCTCAGCTGTGTGGTTGCAACGTTACCCACACTGAGAACGTTCACTAAAGTGGAGGGCAGTGGGGAAGGCAGAAGCAGACTCTAAAGTTTTGGGCTGTCATAGGTTCAGAATGGAAAAAAAAAATAAAAGAGGTTTTCTAACTAGAACTACCTAACACCAAGCTGAGAGAAAGAGGAGGGGGCGGGCGGTGAGGTGGGTGGGCAGTGAGAGTGTGTGCTCTCCTGAGCACCCGGGGCCATGTGCCTTCCAGGACACCTGCAGTCCTAGGATGAGGTAGAGTTAAGACCCAAACCAGAGTTCCAGCTTTTGCTCCCTGTGCAAACTACAAATGAAATCCTGTCACCTTGGGCTATAAAGACCCTATTTATGTTATTTTGTTTATTCTTAAATTTTTTTATATGACATGCTTCTTTTTGATATGAGTCTATAACAAACTGACTTTGGGTTGGAGCTCAGTAATCTTTTTGTTTTATACATACAGTATATATATGTTTCACACATGTTTTATTTATGTTTATAATATGCATAAATAAGTGGAATTGACTTATAATCATGAAACCAATAAATTATTCCTAGTAGTCTCTGAGTAAGATTTACACTTGTCCCCCTTCAATGTGTATTACATATTTAGTGTATTTTAGATTATATAATATATATCACATATTAAATATCAGTAAAAATAATAACAGTTACAAAGGCAAAAGAAACAAAGTCATTTATGTGGACATCCTGGCCCACGTGATCCTTTTGGAGCGGTTACCTGTGTAAAGAAACGTGTTGGAGTGTCCTCCCACCACGACGTCCACACCCTTCACTTTCTGAGCGATGAGTTTATCCATTTCAAAACCAGAGTGTCCCAGTGCAATAATTTTGTTCACATTTAGAGTTTTTAGTTTATCTACTTCAGGTTGCAATGCAGTGATTTCATCTTCAAATATTAAGTTGGTTCCTAAGGAATAAAATAAATAAAATGGTCATTTATTAACAACGATTTTTATTATCTTGCTTATTATACACACTAACATGTCAATGTCTTAAGTAAGAAAAGAAATATTTATGTGTTGAATACAAATCCCCTAAGAAGTAAATAAAAATTCAAATCGATATCCTCAATTACATTCACTTTGCGTTGCATTACTTTAAGGTTGTAGGTGATATTATTTTGCTCAAACTCGATCTCAAAGTATCAGGAGGCTTCAGATATGGTTTGTTTTAATATGTTTTTATATCTAGACTTCCATAATACTAATGCGGAAAATGCCTGAGAATATCAGCATGATGTACAAAACAGTATTAGTAACTCCAGGGCATTTGGTTGAAAATTTGGGATAACTTAAAACTGTCAGCACTGGTCCTTGAATGCCAATTTTAACATGGCAGGTAACAACTTTGTCTTGTTCACTTTAAATTAATGTCAGCATTGCAGCATTACTGAGCCCTGTGTTAAATGGGGCCTTCTAAATATTGCTGGCACCGGAAGTGTGCACTCTTCACTGGCTGCTTACTCCCCCTGCTTAGTGGATAAACGATAGCCTGTTGGTATCCACTGGTGAGCACAGGTTTGACACAGCAAGATGCCTGATTCCTCCCACTGGCTCTGCAACCACAGCTCAGCAAGCCTTGAGGTCTTACAGCTTTGACTGGCATGACTGCAAATACAGACAGGCATGCTGCCCTGAAGTCGTGTCCTGTACTCTGCTACAAGGGAGTCCTCCGGTTGATCTCGACTCCCTTATGCTAACTTCTAAGAACCAGCACTACACTGGACATGCCAAAAAATGAATAACATCTTGCTAAGAACTTTCAAAATGTAGGAGTCTGTAAACCCCAGTTTGAAAAGTGCTAACCTTTCCAAAGAGAAACACGACTGTTAAAAACGCATCCCTTGTTACACTGTGATGTTTGGGAGTCTCTGCGTGCTTTAGTGGAGGAACTCCTGAGTCCTTACATCAGTCAACTCCACATGTGCAAATGATCATGGAAGATAAATAGCATGGCTGATGTCACAGCCAGGGAGGCCCCAGACTGACAGCCTGAAAATTAGCAGCTCACAGACGTGTTGGACTGGCAGTGTTGTCAGTAACTTACAGGCAATGTTTGCAAAGCAGGAGTTGTAACAGCTTTGGCACCATTGTCTGTCATGAGAACACCATGGATAATCTGCTTCTTGCTGGTCACCCCAAGAAGTCCAGGGCCCATGGTGACCCCTCAGTGCCATGTTACCTTCTCTATAAGCCTTTCCCTGAGCAGCCTTTTAAAACAACAAGGTGCATTTTCCCCCTACGCCTCACTTTCCACTCCCTCTCCTGCTTCTCCACAGCACTTACCACCTTCTGACACATCAAACATTGTGCTCTTTTATTTTATTCTCCCACTAACATGTAAGCTCCAGCGGGCAAGAATGTTTTGGTCAGTATTCCTGGTGCCTAAAACAGTGCCTGGCACACAGACAGGTACGCAGGGGGATGGATGCATGTTGAGAGAATACTACCATGCACTACTTTGGTTTGGCTGGAACAAAAAAGTTCAGAGAAATGCCTCTGAGGACAAAGGAATGTGTTCCCAGAAACCTCCTATTTACAAAGCATGGAATATATTTTGAGATGTCATGAGGAGAGTTATATTACAGAAATTTCATTACCTAGCTAAAATAAATTTATGTGCTAGAAATGGCCTGTGGATGCCCGGGCCACGAGGACCGGGAGAATTGGGCTCGATTAGTGGCTAGAGACCTGCAGGAAGACGCCACGCTGGGCTGCTGAGCCTGTGGTCTTGGAAGAAATGGGCATATTCCCGGGAACCTTCCGTTCCACCCCACCCCTTTCCCCACACTAGGCTCTGCACGATCCAGCCCTTCTCTTCCGGGAGCTGCTGGAAAAAGCATTATCCCTTCGGATCCCCTCTCTGTTACAGCCTGGTAAAGGACTGGTGAGAATCCCAGCTGGGGTAGTTTGATTTCTGGAGCCCTCCTCATGTCTCTCCACCAACACCCCCATCTCCTACCTTCTTAGTGGTATTAGAGAAGGGACAATAATACTTTCCTCCAAATCACAGCTGAATTTCTCAGCCATGAATCCAGCCCTGACCCAGTTTTTAGCTTTCCCTGCTCAGAACCCATGTTCCAGGAAACTGAACTATCTACTATTCTGTGATTGCGGTCCCTGCGCTTTCCTGCTCTCGCGTGTTCATTCCAGCAACATTTACTGAGAACTTACCATATCACAGTCCATCAAGCGGTGAATGAGACAGTTAAGGTCCCTGCCCTCATGGAGCAGGTGTCCTAGCACTGACTCTGACCTCACTTCTGGAATGTCCTTTGCCCCAGGATGCTTTACACACCCTCAACAGGGCCAAGGTGGCTCTTCAGCAAGTCTCCCTGACCCCAGGAGCAGGGGTGCTTAAGCAAGAACCTCTCACTCGGCTCACTCACTGCCCCCCCCACAGCCGCCCCACCCTGCCTCCACCTCTGCCTGGCGCTGGCCGCAGGACCTGCTCACCGCTCTGGGTCTCGCACAGCCGACCCTTTGGTTGTTGTTTCCAATAGCCTGGACTTAACAACAACAAAAATAAAGACAGATTTTTTTAAAAAAATTATATGTCCTTTAAAATCAGTTATCAAAACTGTTTCTGGATAATACTAGCTCCTAGTTTCTCTTTTATTCTTCAAACATGGAAAGACATTTAATTTGGAAATTTGGATAGTTTAGAGAAAATGTCATTTTTGTTCTCACTGCCAGAGTGTTTCAATAAAAGTGTTCCTATAAAAGTGGCTCCAGATCATTTCCTTTTTTTTTTCTTTTGAGACAGGGTATCACTCTGTTGCCCAGGCTGGAGTGCAGTGGCATCATCCTAGCTCAGTGCAACCTTGAACTCCCGGGCTCAAGTAATCCTCCTGCCTTAGCCTCCCGAGTAGCTGGGACTACAGGCATGCGCCACCATGCCCAGCTAATCAAATTGTTTCTTGAATGGTCATATGTGTGTGTGTATTACATACATATACCCACTTATGTGACAGACATATGAGACAGATATACATTAGAATATATATAAGACCATTCAAGAAAATATATATGTACTTCCTAGAAAGCCAGATACAAGAGCATCATTAAAACAAGAGCTAAATAATGAAAAGGGAGAAAGGAGAGTCAACTAGACATGTAATAATCGTACCAGAAAAGGAAAGGTAAGGTAGGCCGAGGTGAAACCCCAGCTCTGGGCTCCCGGGCTCCCCAGGAAGAAGGCAGCACGTTTCGGGGCTCTCATTTCCTAGCAAATGAATCCGTACTGTTTAGCACTGGATATAAATGGTCTTCTCTTCCAATTTTGAATGCACTGGATTAAACAAAGATACTGTTTGTGTTAACAAAGAAGTTCATTGAGCAGAAGAGGAAATGTCCTTAAGAAGTAACTCAGAACAATGCGGAGTCCACCAGATGGTCTTATCAGTGTCATCCTGAATACGTTACTCGCCCAGTGGTTCCCACTTTTATCTACAGTCCGTAAAAACCATGCCAAGCTGTGATTTAGTATATCTGTTTTCAAGCAATGAGTGCTGTAAAAGGAGAAAATACCTGGATTTGAGAGAAAAGGGGTCTCTTTTGAGGTGTATCCAACAATTCCCACAACTTCATCACCAACAGAAAGAATTTTGTACGGCAAGTAAAGTCCTGATATTTGAGATGCTAGCGGCCCCTTTGCTTTAATGTTTGCACTCAGAATTGGAAACTTGACCTCTTTGAGGAGTGGATCAATCAGTCCTTCTACACCATTATCAAATTCATGATTTCCTAATGCCTAGATAAAAGGGGAAAGAGAAAAAGAATTAGGTACTTCGGAATTTCCAATAAAAGCATACTTTAAAAAACATTACATTAGCTCAGTGGCTCCCCAAACTGGCCAGGCTCCAGGAGACAGATTCCGAGGCCTCTGTCCTCCTCACCTCCAGAGAGTTTACTCAGGAGCCCTGGGTTCCCAGGACACTCAGATCATCAGGCTGGTTGAGAATTGCTGCCCCGGGTCTCATCCCACCTAGTGAAAGTGGTGTCCCCCAGCATGCACAAGCAGCAGCTGGAGAGCTGTCAGACATCCACGTCCGCCATCCTCAGATCTGGCGCAGGTTCGCTTGTCTGCATTGACCAGGCTCTGCCCAGCCTTTCCATGCTCTGTTTTTTCATAAAACCACATTTCAGACCCAGTCACTCAAATAGTCATCTGCTGGGGAGAATGGTTAACATCACCGGGACTACAGCAAAGGGCAACCGGAATGTGTGGACCCGTCGAGGGAGATCAGAGGCCTCCTTCCTGGTTGCATCTCCTCGGTCACCACTGCCGTAAGGTCCCACAGTCGCTTCTTCCCTCTAGTACTTCTGGGAACAGGGAGATCCCCAAGGGCAAGCAGGAGCCAGCGTCTCCCCGTTACAGTGCGGCTCTGGCTTCTTCCTTCAGGAGGTTCTGAGCACCCTGCGTTCCATTCCCGGCAGTTTCACGTCTGATGAAGAACTCCACGGTGGGCCCTCAGCCGGTTCTGACCCACTCTTGAGCAGGGCTTTGGAGGAGCAGGGATGTGTCAAGCAATCCTCACTTTTCACCTTTTTTGCTCCCTCCCATTGCCCAGTGGTCTGGGGGTGGCTGCTGGGTGCAACATCACCCCAGGCTGTGGTCTTGCAGCACCCGCTGGGTAGCTGAAATTTCCACACAAGAATCATACCTACAGCACATGACAGGCGAGCCACCCTCCCCAGAAAACCTTCCATCCCTTCCTCCACGGCCTCTGGGATAAACCGTCTCCTCTGGCTACTCACCTGCCTGCGCTGGCTGCCAAGGCTATTTTGCTAACTTAAAACCAGCGAACCTCAAATTCTCTAAATATCACATCCAATTTGGCTTCACTCTGCAGGTCATCTGGGAACAGGCCTGAATTGCTGACTGCTGACCCCTCCATCCACGCAAGAGCCCTGTGTATTCTCTTACAGCCCCACCCTCTTCCTTCCTTGCCCATTCCACACTGCAGCAGCACACTGGCCGGCCTTTCCTTTACCTCTGTCCCTGCTAGATTGAGTGCTCCTGTCCACCAGGTCCGCTGCCTCTCCTGTCAGCAGGGTGGCCCCCTCCCCTGGCACACAGGCACTCACCAGGTGTCTGTGGCTCCAGGGGTTGTGCATACATCCTCATATACACGTGTTTATGCAGAAAAAGCAACACAGTATCTTACATTCCCACATACCTGTCTCCCCTATTAAATGCAGAATTTTTTTTTTTTTTTTTTTTTTGAGACAGGGTCTTGGTCTGTTGCCTGGGCTGGGTGGTGCAGTGGTGTCATCATAGCTCACTGCAATCTCAAACTCCTGGGCTCAAGTGATCCTCCTGCCTCAGCCTCCTGAGTAGCTGGGACTACAGGCATGCACCCCCACCCGCACCCCCACCGGCTAATTTCTTTCTATTTTTAGTAGAGACAGGGTCTCGCTCTTGCTGAGGCTGGTCTCGAACTCCTGATCTCAAGCAATCCTCCCACCTCGGCCTCCCTGAGTGCTAGGATTACAGGCGTGAGCCACCTTGCGTGGCCAAATATAGAATTTCTGAATTTGCCATTTCCCCCATCTCTGATGATCTATCCATTTTTACCTCTTCCTCTTATCTAATTAACTTGCCTCTAAAAGCTAATCTAGTCTTAATAGTTCTCTCAGTCTTGGGTAATTATTTTTTTTTCCTTCTATTCTTAGAACGTTATAGTTTCTTCCTATGGGGAAATGTCTCCTTTGTTATATGAAAATAATTATCTTGCTTAAGTGTAAAGTTGTTTTGTTTTTAATGAAAATTTCTACAGTTTTTCATAAAAAATTATTCAAATTGTCGAGCCACCTTGCAGTTTACAGCAACATTGTATTGCTAGCATTCGGCAATAGAGGAAATTACTGCTTTCCCTTACTTGTTTCATGTCTTGTTTCCTCCCCACCCTGACTTGAGTGTAGCCTCGCTGAAAGCAGTGACTCTGTCTTTCCCCTTCTCCTCCCCGACGAGAGGAGCCGCTTCATGGTGCTCGATGGTGTGGATGGACTGACTCAATGATCTCATTCCATTCACACCTTCAACTCCACACTGAAGGTCTCTAGCCCTGATTTTCTTCTGCCTTCTATGTCAACTGCCACGTGGACATTTCCCCCAGTGTTGCAAAGGTGCCCCAGGCTTACCATGCTCAAAGCCCCTTCCCTGTGATTCCCCATCTTGGCCCACGGTGCCACCATTTACCCAGCCAATAGCCAGAAACCCTGGAGCAGTGGAGTCCCTCCCTCCCCCTCTCCCTCCGACCCCAGCGTGCCTCCCCTTCACCCTGTACCTGCCTGCTGTCCCCCCATCGTCACTGTCTTGGTGTGAGCCTCCCACTCGCTCCTGCGCTACTACAGCAGCTCCTGACTGGGCTTTCCGCTATTGTCGTTCCTTCTCCAAACCATTCTTCATATAGCTGCCAGAATAATTTTTCTCAAATCTGACCTTGTCACTCTCCACCTTAAACTCCTACAGAAACTGCCTTTACGATAAACTTCAACATCCTCAGCAGGGCCCACAGGCTCTTTGAGACCTGGCTTTGCCTTCCCCTCCATCCCCGTTTCTGACCACCCCCCTTACTGCGTGAGGCCACATGGCAGGGCTGGCTCGCTGCTGATGAGCAGTGACCCAGGACACTTTTCTAAACCGCAGTTTCCTCTGCAAGGGCAGTGAATGAATAAACAAACAAACATGGTAATAAAAATGAGCCAGCACTTACCGCATGCCAGCATTAAAAAAAGTGAGTTTGCATAGACAATCTTGTGCTGAGAGGTTGGTACGATTGCTATGTTCATTTTACAGATGAGAAAATCTGAGATCTAGATAAGTTAAATGAATCGATAAAGATCACACAATCGGTAAGTGGTGGAGCTGGGACTAGCATCACTTACGTTTGATTCTAAAGCTCTTAACCTCTATGCTTGTCTGTAAAGCGCTTCGCACAAGGAACACTAAAAAAAAAAAAATCCTAACTACTTGCAGTTTTCCATGATCTCACTTTTCTTTGTCCCTTTGTATATGATACACAAATGATGATAGATGGATGGATAGAAAGAAAGAAAGAATAGAATAGAACGTTGCTTCTTCACATCATTCAACTCTTCACACTTATTCAACTAATGGCTTTAGCTCCCGAAGTCTGACAATGCTTCTGGAAGGGAGGCTTTCCAAGAGCCCTTCATCAGGCTCCCTGAGTTAGATGTCCTTCCTCTCTCTGACGGCCATCTCCGTGGAGCCCTGGCAGAGCTGTCACCTGCCTGCGGAGCAGATGCACTGCTGAGTGAATAAATGAATGGACAGAGGAACCGCTGACAACTATCTTTTCTTTCTATATGCAGCTAACTTTTCCTACAAAAATAATGCAAATTCCTTTGTGAATACTTATTTTCCTTAGAAATTCATATTTTCATTTCCCCACCTCAACTTTCCCCTACCTGTTTTTCTTCTGTTGTGCTTCTCAGAACTTAATGATTCATGAGCCCTTGGGGAGGCTCATGTCACTCACCTGAGTATATCCAGGTCCCGCCATGTGCTGGCCGCGGCAGGACTCAAGAAATGTGTTAAATAAACCAATCTTATTTATTCACTGATGTGATTTTTATTAATGACATGAAAATATCTCAGGAAAAGACTGCCCAAGAGAAGAACATTGAGCAAAAAAAGATGGAGCAACAGAACACAGCAGATAATCTCATTCCACCTTTTCTGTCCTCTCTAAAAGTTCCCATGCAACTTTCCATATGTTTGCTTGTACATTTTTTGTAGCTAGACTCTTACTTGCCACTTCTTGTTTAACCATCACCTTGGGTGAGTGATTTCCGTGACCCTAAATCATATTCTTATGCACTCACTCTCTTGCTTTCCAAATATTTCATTTCTAATATTCAGCTCATCCATTCACTAATTCTAGCCTTGTGACAATCTTGTACATTTTGACCACGAACACTAAATTTCACCAAGTGTATTTTTCTGTAATATAAGCTGGGCCTAGCAAAATTACCTTCAGTATCTCCAACACCCAAATCACAGAAATATGATGTGAGCATATGGGCCACCCCCAGCTGCTCACCCCAACCACTTTCTTTTTCTTTATGTAGGAGAAAGCCTAAAACACTATTATTTTCTCAAAATAAAAAAAAGAACTGATGACCTTATATGAAAAAATTTTCCACACTCACACAGAACAGTTCAGCAAACTTTAAAAAAATTTGTTCCATTCACAAACAAGTGCCAGTAAGATATGAGTAAAAATATAAAGGTAACCTGTAAATTAAAACACAGGAAATGAAAACAAGAGAACCCGTGGTAGTGTCATGAGATGGGGTTCTGAGGGGTCAGGCTGGGAACTGTGATGCAGTTGGCCAAGCTTGTCACCTGCTTCCAAGCAACTGGGTCTCTCTCATTTTACAATGAAGACACTGCTTCACTGTACTGTCTACCACGTTTGTTTCATATCCTGCCTTCTGAAAAGTTTTAACGGCTCACATACCAAATCATAAGAGTAAAATGGAGCCCACTTAAAAGGAGCAGGTGGAGTGAGCATTTTATTATTCATTCTACAAACATCTGCTGGGCACTGGTGCCAGCCAGCGCTTGCCTGGTGTCACTGAGGACACAGGGGCAGAGGATGTGGTGAACAGACAGCCACAGTGGACAAGTGCTGTTAGAGACACCTGTTTGCACAAACCAATAGAGAGAGAGAGGTCTGCAGTGGTGATGTCTCGAGGAATTCATGCTTGAACTGTGTTGGA